GTACGTTTTGTCACGTCCTTCAAGACGAAGGAAGGCAGAACCAGTGACCTGTCACACTGTCCCACAGCCAACAGCCTTGAAGGCCTTGGAGGAGCAACTCAGCCGAGCACCTTGGTTGTTCAATGAGTACACCCCAAGGGTCCCTTTTGACAAGCATGTTGGTGTTCCAAAGAGAGAGAGAGAGAGAGAGAGATGTTCTTCACAGAGCGGAAGGTTGAAGACCAGTGAAGATGGACTTTGCTATGGCCTTTTGGGATTCAAGGCAGACACTGCACGCGAAGCGGCAGCGCCTCCTGTGGTCGAACCTGCAATTCCACCTGCTGTGGAAGCTGCCTGTGCGCAGACGGTGGAGCTGGGCAGACGCATGGAGGAGCAGGAGGTGAGCTGTGAAGGGAGGATTCCATCTGACGTGGGGTGGTGGAAAATGCACATTTTGTATGCTGATTGTTTTATTTGTTATTCAGGTGAAGATGTTCTTGCTGTAGTCTTGAAGAATGTTATCACGGCATTATGTAGGTACCTCCAGTGCCTTTCCAAGTTGTGTCGCAAAGTTGAGCAGTTCAGGAAGTTTTTGGGAACATACTGTAATTACATGCAGCTTTAGGGAGCCTTGATGGGGGGGTTTGGAAGTGCTAATACATTTCACTTGGAAGGGAGTGTGAAAGCAATGGTACATGAACACCTTGAACAACTCCGGGTCCCATGCCCGGTTTCCACGAATGCTGTGAAGAGGTGTGCACAGTGATCAAGGGGCAACACATCTACAGCCTACAGCTATCAATGTTTGGTAGCTGTGATTCCTATCAGCAACAAGACATGTAATTGGTTTCATTCCCTTCACAGACTTTGTTCCATTCAAGACCTATTGCAAAGCAATATTGCCCAGGCCCAGATGTATTCCACCACCTCAACTGGTCGTTCAAAGCATTGCACTTCACTTGTATACAACGTGCTGATTGCTGCACAGGTGAATGGAAGCGCTTTGAAGCTTCGTTTGGAGGCGCCGGCAAAATTCATAGAGACCCGAGAAGTCCAAACAAAGCATAACAACGCAAGTACGTCTTATCACGTCCTTCAAGACGAAGGAAGGTAGAACCAGTGACCCGTCACACTGTTGATGGACATTGTGCCTTGGAAAGGTGTAGGAAGCCTCAGACTCAAACGTATGCCACAGCCGCAGCCTTGAAGGCCTTGGAGGAGCAACTCTGCCGAGCACCGTGGTAAGAAATGCTGGCTCAGCATTGTGAGATATGAAGATGAACCGACATTCTTTCAAGTGATACACCATTGAGAGCTGATTGCAAGCTGGGAGGCCTCCGGGAGAGATGGGAATATATGGGAGTCGATTGCTTGCCTTCAGGGAGTCGATATGGGCCGAGTCGGCTCGCCTATGCAAGCTATAAAACAATATAAAACAGCTGGTTCGACACATAAGATGTGGGCCGAATGGAGAGACGCCTCGGTGCGTCTCTCCCATCATCACATAGCATGTCCACCCAGTCTTCTCAGAGACCGACTCGACCATCCCTTTTTTCAAGAAGCACGCGAGTGCCTCACAAGGATGTCAACCCCCAAAACAGGTAGTCGGTTAGATCCGGGTGAGATTTGCGGATTGCGACCGCACAGGGGGCCACGCTAAATCTCCGGACCCAGTTGACCCAGTTGACCCCAACAAACTACCGCTGCTGCTGCTGCTACTACTACTACTACTCCTGCTGCTGCTGCTGCTACTGCTACTACTACTAGTACTAGTACTAGTACTACTACTTCTACTACCACCACCATTATTACTACTATAGGTTATAGGCTGCAGACTATAGGAGTGGCTATAGGCTACAGAAGGAAGCAATCCGTGGACCAATTGGCCTTCCCCAAAATGACCTTCCTAGAAATGTTTGTATCTCCCAAAGGCCGCAGAAGATACGGACTCTTTAAACTTTCTCTTGCCCGCTTGCCTCTTGCCACAGTTGCACCGCTGGCCCTGTCCTATCTTCGCTTGACGTACTTACCCCAATTGCCCAAATGTTTGTATCCCCTGCGCATCCATAGAAGATGCGGACTTCTCTCTCTTGCCCCACTCGCCCTACATGCCCTGCCCCCGGAACCCTGCACATCCCAACAATCAACTGGATCAACTGGGACCACACAATTACCGGACCCCTGTGTCGATGCACTTGATTTGAGATAGCAAGGATGAGGGGATGAGTCTCTTTCCTATCGCTGATCGCTGGCTCAATGGTTTGCGCTACATTATTATACGACGGTATTGCTCAATCATGTTCAATCAGTTTCAATCATTTGTAGAAATCTATGATATCACTATGAAGTAGAAACGGTGTTTGCTATTATTCTTACTGCGGGTCCAAGACATTTGGAATGCATGAACACATTGACATGGTTTTATGAAACGAGTACCACTAATCACCAAGGGCTTTGTTTGATGATGTTTCAAGGCAATGATATGTAGCAAACCCCAAAAGTCCTGAGATAGTTGTGACCCCCACAAAGTTCGCTTGAGAGGGACCCACCTGTCAGAATTTTGCCTGAGGATTTGGTCGTGCAGAACGGAAGCTTGGAGATGCTTCAAACGCAGCTGGGTAGCCTTCATGAGCAGCTTCCCAGGACGGCACCGCCGAACATCGCGACGGCGAGCGATGTTGTGAGCAATGTTACGACGGGACCACTTATGCCTATGTGCCCTGCTTAGGGCGATTTGGAACACTTGTCGGCGCACACGGCACAACAGGAGATCACACCTATGACGCGTCTTATGACGCGTCTTACGTGACAGCAGCTCCCTGGATCTGAACCCTGAGAACTTCCCGTACAATCAGACCAGGGTGTACTGTTAAAACTCGGGCAACCTGGGATAGCAATCGGTTTGGAATTTAAATTTACAACTTTCCACATTTTTCCAGTTCATTTTCATACCTTCCAGCTTCTTCAACTCCGGTCCATCCATGTCCTGACCCTTCGGATCGGATCGGACCACGGCAACGCCAGACGCGGGTTCCCGGTTCACGCACCAGGACCGTGGCGGCTCGCTTGGAGGAGCGATTCAATTTGGAGCTTCCCAAGGCGCGGCAGAGCACCACCCAGCAGATCGCACGAGAGGCGCGGCCGCCGGCCGCGCGTCGACGCCCGTGAGCAGGTCAGCGGCGTGAGCGAACTCCGATCCCGGCGGCGGTTTTGCTCGCGGAAGCAAAACCGAGGTGTTTAGATGGGGTTTTTGCACGGATGCAGACAGATGTTTGTGGCGGGTGCTGCCCTTTTGGTGGCTTTTGGCTTGGTGGACCACCCTGGTAATTTCTCGTCATATTGACCAACGTCGCGTCTCCCAATCTTTCAAGCTGACGCTGGGGCAACTGGGGCGCTGCCGGAACTGAGGGCCACGCTGGTCCACCGAAAGCATAAAAGGGATGTCTTCCACGCCATGATACGCCATGTGTTAGTGAATTCTATAAGTGACTCCAGCTGACACCTATTGTTTATCAATCGACTATGGGCATCCCCGCCATGGCCCGTGGATCCAACGCGAACGCCCGCGACTGGTAACGGCCCACGGCTCGGGTGCCGCCCGAGGTGCGGGAGGCGGTGCGGGGCGAGTATCAGCGCTTGGTGTGGCAGCTCGCAGGGCCCGAGCCACGCGAGGTCGGGACGCGAGGGGGCTGGCGGCTGGGTAGAAGTAGCCGCGGTGAGGATGGAGGATTCGACGTGAAAGGAAAAAAGGGGGGGGAGCATACGGCATGCAGCATGCAGCACGCGGTTGTTTTTTTTTGGAGTATGGTCATGAGACAGCTGTGTTTAGTTTGTGATCAATCCAAGCCAAGAGGTCACGAGGGACGAACCGTTGGACCGTTTGGATTCTCGTTTGTGCTTGGATCTAGTGTGGGTGGTTTACGTTTACCGCCGTTTCCCTGTATACCCATTTGGTGAAGAGGGATCCTTGTGGATCCTTCAAAAAGGGTCATCGTTCATTGTATAGCTTGAATAGAAGAAGCCAGTACTTGTCATGTTGGGGTTCGTTGCGGTTCGTTGGTTCTTGGGGACCCTCGGCACCTCCCGTACACCTCGACCCTGGGCGAATCCCCAGAGCGAACCCCCAAAGCCACTGGTCGAAGGGTCCATGGATGTTCACATCCACTGGTCCCAGAAAAGTCACAAGGTTTGGAAACGCCACCAATGGCCGCCCAAGGGATCGCACAAGAGGAACGTGGGACAACATCCAAGAGCCGGCAATCACACTGTATACAGGAAGTTTTGTGCGTGGCTCATGGTGAGACATGGAAGTTTATCCAAAGATTTCTTGCAATTAATGGTCAATTAAGCAAATGTAGCCATCAGAGTCAACAACTTCTCACATCGTAGATCAGCTGCCTCATCAGAAGATCATCGCATCGCGGCCCCCGAGTACTTTGCAACTGACCTGCGGCAGGGAGTTTTGTTGGAAGCCTCATTGATCACTTAGTCGCCATTATGGCCCTTCCTTTCTTTGCAACATCCAAAGACCAATCAAAAAGTGAGACTCCACAGCAGATAGAGCAACGTCCAACAGAAATGCTCATGATTGGAAGAACAAGAAGGTTCAAAGTTTGAACCAAGCAATTGACAGCTTCAGTCGATGGAAGGACTTGAACAACTATTGGGGCCCCTACTCGCAGCGGGGGATTGTTCGGTTCGGGCAAAACCCTCCCTGCTTGAGGGTACTGGCGGCGAGGGGTTGGTATTTTTTGGGGTGCTGGGTTCATGGTGCGAGGTCCTGACCACCAGATCACCCAGCTTGGAGAAGGCGGAGACGCGGCGGAGACAGAGAGATGTTGGACCACGCGGCCATGGACGGCCATGGATGGTCCATTTTGTTTCTGAAAGGTGTTGTTTCGAATGGTTCGAGTTCGATCATCTTTTGCAGAAACTAGCAACGATCTAATGTCGATGAACTCATCGGAACTACAGCTTCATTCGGCACCTTGGTTAGCAATCACTGGGCCCGGGCCTAAGAACTTCGAAGGTCAGAGCTCGCCTCTGCATTTCCAGGCACAACTGGAGCCTCCACCGAAACCTGCTGAGCCGCGCCCGGGCGCTTGATGCTGTCAGTTTCTCCGGTGGCCACTTGTGGCTGCGCTGGGTGTGTACCCGCAAGACCCATGAAAGAGACCTAGCTGAGTGAAAGTTGAAGATGCGCCACACGGAGCTGGGCCGGATGCGAAGCTATGGTCAGATGATCTTCAGCAGTGGTTGTTTGAGGTACAAGTGGGAAGGGATGATGTTCTGTTGTTTTAGGACGTTTTGCGATGTTTTTGGGTGGAACACAAATGTTGGCTGACACTCTCTGAAATAATCATAGCTACGTGGATGGCATGTCCCCTTGGACGACAATTTTCTGCTACAAACAGTTGTTTTTTGCACTTCCATGATTATCTCAGGGAGTGTAGTTCGTGGAAGGCAGAATGTGGATGGATGGGGGATGGGGATATGGCAGGTTTGAGCTTCAGACGAAAACAGCTTCCTGCTGGCCCGCATGCAGCTTCCGTGTTGGCTCATTTTTGCAACCCGTTGCTGCATAGATGCGTCAACTACACTGCGCGCGTTAATTGGGCAAGCAGGTGCAGGCACCCAACAACATGGATTATGTGGTTATCAAGGTATCCTGCTTCTGGAATGAAACGTTGGCTCAGCCATCCTTCTCTTGATAGGTTTTGAAACCAACATAGCCTAAAATGAGTTCAAACCATTACAGCTCGAGTTGAATCCTAGGACCCTCCAGACAATGCAGAATGGTTACTCAACAACAACAACATGGTTAAACTCAACAACAACAACAACAACAACAACAAGAAGAAGAAGAAGAAGAAGTCCAGAGTCCCCAGAGTCCAGGCCTGGAAAGGATCCACATCCTCGCGGTTTCAGAACGGAAGGAGACTTCAGCAAACTACTCTGCCCTGCCGATCCGCTGCATGTTGCCATGTTCCAGAAGGCGGGCGACAGAAGACAGATGTAGATGTGGGTGTAGATGTGGGTGAACATCTGTGGCGACCGCCTTTCTTATGATTTTCTATGTTTCTTGGCCTCTAAAAGCTCCAAATTCCTTAGGGGATGGGGGGGCTGAAAGATTACTTGCATCATTTGATGTCTATATATTTTTTTTTTCAGTGGACAACACTTAGATGAAGCTTCCAAGTCTCCCCGACGAGTTGAGCGGACATGTCTATTTGATGCACTTGGGAACTGTACTATTTAGGCTTAGACTTCCAGGTTGCATGAGTTGAGGGTCTACTGCTTGTTTAACTTTGAACTCGTAGTTGTACTTGCAGCACCTTGGATTCACCTTATCAAATGTTTAAGCACATGCTGTCACATACTTATAAAACTTAAGAACGCGCTAAGCTCAGCTGGGAAGAAGACAAGCTATCTCTAGGCTGACGAGGTGATTGCTAGTGGTCTTAATGTCAGCCAAGATCAGGGACTCCACAACAGTTGTAGGGTGAATGTTAATGTAGAATCTTGATGCACAACCCGCCCATTTCGATTGTAAAGCCTCTTCAACTTGGGAGAGTATTTATATTATCAAGATTCTACACAGGGGAGTGGGCGCAACTCGGGACCCGAGAACCTTTACAAAGAAACTGCAGCCAAGCTGAGCTCCGGAATTTGCTCGGAGAATGTGAGGCAATCCCTCCATGCCACCAAAGGTTCCGGAACCATTTGAACTGTCCAGGGTTCCAAAGGCCACCCGAAACCATCCAAAGACATCCAAACACGATGCAATGCCAAAGTCCGACATGACCGGTGGCAAATGTGTGCAGCCCTCCACGTGGGCGCCACCGGCCGAACCTTGTCTGTAAGCGGTATCTTGGGTTGTAGGTTATAACTATAACCTTTATGGATGACAAGGGTGAACCCAATCCGGTCCTTCGGGTCCGGCGTTTCTCCGGTTTTCACCGGGTTTTTCGCGGTCATTCTAAGGGGAGAACGGGAGCACGCGACTCCTGCCGGTTCAGGCTCAAGGACGTTGAGAGTTACTGTATCCTCTAGGGTCAACTCTTCCCTTGACCACCGGTGTGGACCTCGAGACAACAACGTAATGTGACTGACCCGTACGTTGTTGAGGGTGAGTTGGTTGGTTTGTGGCTTGGTTGGTTTGGGTCCCACGGTGTCGTCCCTGTGGTGACTGGTGGCTGATTGGAACAGGGGCGAACTTGGTCAGCTTGACGCAACCAAGGTCCAAGGTCCGAAATGAAACGGAAACACAAGGGGAGTAATTTCAGTGGAGGTATATGAAAGCACATGTGTACAGTGTGGACGCGTGTATTCGAGGCCCGCGACGCGCAGGGGGAGTGACGGCCATGATGCCTGTCTTCTCCCAGAATCCCAACGGGACGTCTATCAGGCGGCTATATGCCAGTCTGGGTGCTTACTTGGTAGTTTCCACATTGCTTTATGTAGTTCTGGCTGTGTAATATGAGTGGAGGAATCACGAGCCCCATGGGCGCGGTTATACTTTGTAGTGAACGGGGTGGCCGGTGCTGCAGTCTCTTTGTAAAGGCTCTCAGGTCCTGAGTGTGCAAAATCTTGATACTGTATGATACTGTAATAGAATAACCACCCAGATTGAAGAGGCCGATGATGATGATGATGTCGCGGTGGTGGTAGCCAAAGGCACACCGTGGCAGCCACTCCTAAATGGCTCCTCTGGCGCTCCGGAATTTGCTGGGAGAACATGAGGCAATCCCACCATGCCACGAAAGGTTCCGGAACCATTGAACTGTCCAGGGTTCCAAAGGCCACCCAAAACCATCCAAAACACGATGCAACGCCAAAGTTGTCCCCAAAGTTCAACATGACCCGAAAAATCTCCCGAGACCTCCCACCGTCAGAGGTGTGTTTGACGTCTCGGATCGGATCCTTTTATGGATCGTCATCTCCTTGTCATCTCCGACTCGGTGCTCTTCAGAGCCCTCCGCGCCTCCAGGCCTTGTCGGGCTTGGACCACCTGTGCGCCTCCGAGCCGTTCAGAAGCGCGACATCCACTGCGGATTGAATTTGGGAGACTGGTAGGTGAGGGGTGACATGTATACGCATCGGGCATGCCCGCAAAACCCTGTACAAGATGTATACGTGTTATTCATAAGTCGCATGCCCTTGGGGATTCCCAAGTCGCTCCTCCAGACTTCTATCAATAGGAGAATACTAGTGGTTGCTACTTTGCAGGCCTACTTTTGACACAGATAGCTGTGACAAGAACATGAGCAGAGGCTTAATGGATTTGTCTGTCACTCCAGGTGTTTGGGCCTAAAGCACCAAAGCAGGTCTGGTCGGTCCAATCCAGAATGAACTTTTCCACACATGGCGAAGCGCAACAGTTCATTCTGATCCCATCTGATCCCAAAAGTTCTGTAGATTTTTGGGGAGGGGATGTATCCCTCACTGAAGAAAGATTACTGTCCAATATGTGGGTTGAGGCGCACGAATGCAAGGTGTATGACCCTTGGTGGTTGTTGGCTCTTCATTTCACTTGCTCATAGTGGGCCAATTGCGCGGTACTATTGTTCCTTCGCTTGTTTTGCTCTCATATGGAACTCTTGTTTTGAAGCTTAATGCTTTGGAGGTTTGGATGACTTTAGAGTCGTGGCCGTTGTTTGTAGATCCATCCAATGCCTTTTCCCCCAAACAAGTATGTCCACACTGAGGGTTCTTACGCTAGGAGCCCGGGTTCGATCAGGGTACCCTCTCTGAGCCCGTGCGTTTTGGCTGCGCAGGCTCATGGAAAAGTTCCGTTTTGAGATCTCCAAATGCAATTTCTCTGCGCAGGGTTGCTCGAAACGTTGGCCCCGGGACGGTGCTTGACAGAGGTGCGCTCTCGTTGTGGTGCCGCGCGCATTTTTGGACTCGGTCATCACATTTTGTGGCAGGGGCAATGGAAACCTTCGTGTTTTGGTGGTCTAAGTCGACTTTTCGTGACAGGTGCAGGAGGTCGGAACATGATTTTGGGGTAGGCGCAGTGCATTGGACATTGTGGTCTTCGGCATTCTCTGATTTCGTGGCAGGTGCAGTGAATCGTGACTTTTGGACACGTGGTTCGTTTTTTTCGAAATCGGAGTAAGTGTGAGGCGAAGGCTAAATGCTCTTGCTGCAAATCGCCGGGGTTACGCGATGTGAATCTTGACGTGCAGATCATGACTTACTGGCTTATCGTGGCAGGCGAAGTATTTTGTGACCTTGAAGTCTGTGAGGAAGGCTCGTTTTGTGAGACAGGGGTTCGTGCGTGTCGGATCGCTCTCGTTGTAGCGCGGTGCCGATTTCGATTCCGTTGGTGCAACCCTCTCGGCACATTCTGCGTAATCTGTGGTTGTGCAACTCTCGTGTTTTGTGTGTGTGTGTCGGATTGCTCTCGCTGTAGCGCCGTGCCGATTTTGATTACATCCGTGTGGCGAGCATGTTCATTCGGAAACATGGATCATGTAGAGGATCCTGAGACATGGATCTGGAGACATGGGTCTTGTAGAAGATCCTGAGACATGGATCTTGTAGAGGATCCTGAGACATGGATCTTGCTCACGTGCTCTGTGTAGAGAATCCGGAGGCATGGATACTGTTCGTCAAGATAGAATTTTGTAGAAACAGAACATTTGCACACCCTTCTCCAACCCAATGTGCTGCTCACGCGCCGTGCTGACTGCATCTCGCTGCAGCTCTTGGTGCTGCTTCAATGCGGAGGTCGCCGTTCCCAAGTCTTGTCACCCTCCACTGAAATAACCACCGTTTTCTAACTTCTGCATGCAAAGACATTGATTTGTGCTTGCACAATCCGGACGGTATGCTCGTCCAGCTTCTTCATTTGCATTTGAGCCTGCACGATCCTGTTATATATTTGGTTACCTGCACGTGCCAGTCTACTTTTGCGTCCTCCGTTGTCCCATAAAAAAAAAAAGAAAACAGGCGTTCTGCTGTTTTTTTCTCTCGTGCGCTTGCACTTTTGACATCCAACCTCCACAGTGTTTGGGGTCCCTTGCCGGTGTATTTCATGATCGGCTTGTGCCTTTGCTCAGTAGGGCTCTGTAGGGCTCTTGGACAGGTAAGCGCATGACTTTGAGTCTGAGTGTTGGAAGTTGTTTTCACCTCGAGAACCATCCTTATTCGACTTCATTCGACTTCCTTGTCCTTTGCCATGT